AAAAAAGGCCTAACAACTCAGAACACACAACAGTAACAAACCCAAAAGAGTGAGGAATTGTACTAGTATGAAATATACACATAAAAGAAAAGTATCAACTTCAGTTATATCAATGTAGTAGAGAAAGAGATCCATGCAGTTAATTTACTCAGGTCTGCAATGAAAACGTTCTTCTAGTCTGTAGCGGCATCTTTTTTGAAATTAACTGGAGCTTGTTTCAGGTAATGGGTCAAAACAGCTGTCCTGTGCTATGATCCACCTCTCCGTAATGGTGTTAAATTTAACCACAAAATGCCTACGAAGAAGTATTTTCTTTTCTTTCTTGTGTATCTATACTTAAAAGCATAATATTTACAGGTAAAATATTAAGAAAATAACCTGTAAAGCTGGTTGTTCAGATGCTTCCACACTAGACAGTACTGACAGACAACAAATGTGTGAATAAACATTACTGCAGATAAACATTGTACTGTAATGAAGACTACATTGAAACTGCAAAGTTGTTATAAAATCACTGAAAACTTTTGAAATGTTTTCCATATTCCTCTCTCATATACTGTGCATCAAGTTCCCTCCAACAGAAATCCTGTTTTGCTACTACTACCAAAATCCTCCTGGTAGAAAAGTATTTTAACACTTTGCTATAAGCAGGTAAAACTTGAATTCCTAGTATTTTAGGATCTGCATCTAAGACTAGAAGAATATAGTCCCTAATTCTTAGAAAAAACTCAAGAAGAGACATTTTAAAATGAATGAGTCTAAAGTACAAACAAAAATAATATGAAGGTAAATAATTTCAGCTTAATTAATGATAAAATACCTAAGTCTTGTCAGACTACTAAAAGACTCGTAACTTAAAGTTGATCTGCCACAGTACCTGAACTAGCCATGGATACTATATAATTAACTACTTAGGTTATCACCCCTTTTTTATCACATATCCTTCTTCAATTTTACAGCCTATTTTTCCATTTTCTTCTGCTACATAAATCCTGTTCTCACATTTTTCATGCATTTTTTTCTTCTAGTCTGTGTCTGCAGAAAGACAATGGTGAACTAACAGTTTTCATTTGAACATCATCAATCAGGGAAAATGAATGAAGTTTTCTTCACTAGGGACATTTTTTTAAAAACTGGAATAGAAACTGTTTTAAGGTTGACAAAATATAACTGGTTTCTTGTTTGAATGTTGATTCTAAGGTTTTGTCAGAATTTTACTAAAGAAATATGTTTCAGCTACTATCACCCAGATGCCTGTTACCAGTCTCTAACAGGTATCAGCTATACAAATGATGTATCAGTTACACTCATATCAGGAGAACACTTGTGCCAGGACACCTCTGCTTATGTGAGCCAGAAGCCACCTTTCAACTCTTCTGGTGCGCTACCTATTTGGCAACCTAGTTACCATTATTTATAGGACTTAGGAGTACTGTAACATGGAGAGCCACCTAGTTCCCACACTGTGAGGAACAGTACTGTACAGTTGGGATAAGTTGGTCCTGCGTGGGAGTAGCAATCCTGAAAGACCAGAAAACAAAGGTCTTGATGCCAGAACTGCCTCAGCATTCTAGATCAACAGGGCATTTTGGATCAAAGGGGTCCTTGTTTGGCTTTTTTGGGAAAACTCAGAGCAAAAGAGAGAGAAACAAAAATACACTTGATTACAGTATTAGGAACATGTCAAAGAAGGAGGGGTAGTGGCCTAGACAATGAACAAAACTGCTGGCACTCTGTCAGAAAGTTATCATTTTTCATTTCACTGTATTTTCTTTTAGAGCACAGCATTTTACAGTCTTTCTTTCTGTATTACTAACACACAGCAACACATATGTAAAAGCCAACTTTATCTTCTCTACAACTGGAACGATACACAAAATGATGGAAACAAAATTAGTGTAAAAAGTAGGGAAAACTTGCAAAACTATGTGACATACTTGTTTTTTTGTTCAGTGAGTTATTGGGTGATGCTTTGATACTAAAAGATGAACACAAACCAACAATTCTTATGATTTAACTTCGGGCTGCTAGCTTCAGTGCTCCAACATGAGTGTTTCTGCAACATGAACAGACTCTTTTCTTCTATTATAACTCTATTTTTTTCTTGAGGCATTATCTTGTAGTGCTTTCTGTTTAAACACATTTGTCAGAGCTGTACAGGTATTTTAAAGGAATGGATGAAAAATCCAAGTTTCAAAATATTTAGACAAAACCTTTCCCCAGCATCCAATGAATGAGTTTTCCATCAGCTCCATATGCTTTTTCTCTCCCCTTCAAGAGCATTAGTATTTTATTTTCTTGGAATAGAACCAGCAATAAGCAGCAAGAATCTTATTACTTTCATGACATTAATATGAATAAGTTAGACTGAATCCTTATTAGAGTGTTTCAGTAGGTTCTTTTCTGTCTAAAAGAAGCCATGAAAAAGATGTTTGTAGAAGACAGATACCATCATCTAGTTGGGACTGAATGGTGGGATGAATATTGTGTCAAGAATACTGACTCATAAGACTATAAACCTACTAAGGCAGAACTTTTGTTACCAGTTCTAAGGAGCTGAAAGAGAATACATTTAAACTTTATAAGGATTATAGTTGGTAAAATCTTCTTATAAATCTACAGTTTATTAAAAAAGGGGCATTTTTAATGAACACCTTCGGAAAAAAAAACCCTGAAAAATCCCTTTCAGCATAATTTATCAGATCAGGCCAAGCCAAACAGTCAAAAAGCTACAGAAGCAGAGGTCAGTTTTTGACTTGTTCATTTAATTTCTGCCAAATGTACTTGGATGAAGACTTTAAGTCTGCCTTGCACATTTGAAGCAATTAGACAAGCAGTATTGGCACAGGCAAGCAGAGATGTCCATATGGGTTTGTTTCTATCAAACCACACTCTTTTCCACAGTTAAATTTGTGAATCTTTTAGTTTGAATACTTATGGAAGGCCTAGACTTGCTTCAGAAAAACCCAGTGAATTCTGCCCTGCCAGAGACCACCTGGTCAGTGAGGGGGCTTCCGGGAGAGCATACAAAAAACCTGCTTCCAATGTGAGCCACAGTATTTGTCAACAGGGCTTTTAGCCACACAGAGTACAGCTCAAAAAGCTAGACCAGAGCTTTTACAATAAGCTCTTATGGTCTATGAGATGTTTAGGAGACTTTATTCTGATGATACAGACTTCTAACTATATTCTTAGAACAAAACCAAAACCAACCTCACCCAGCAACACTCCCCCAAACAACTGCATGTACATACACACATCTAAAACTATTATATACGTGTATGCATGCATGAGCAAACACACTAACAAAATAAGACTATCCATTTCAAGCACAGATACAGTTTTATCGCAACAAATAAATTAATTTGGGTTCGTAAGTCAGACTACTTTGGTGTCATGTTGAATTCAAACCCCAAGAGTATTTATTTTTGTTGACAGTTATGTCTCTTTACAAACAACTGTTTTTCCAAGTTTGTAGGAATTCCATTCCCTTCAAAAACATCTTTTGCTCACAATAACTTCAGAGACTGAACAGGTACTAAGTAAAATATTCAGTTATTTCAACAGTGAAGTAGCCACCTTTATGTCATACTGAGTATAACACACCCTGCTGCTCCCACTGTGCTTAATGCTATGAAAGTTCTTCTGTCTCAAAGAATAATGTATAAAGTTTTTACAAAATCTCTAAAAACAACAAATTCCAAAACCATTCTATTTCTTCTATAGAATACAGTGCATATGAAGAAAAATGCTGAAGTATGATAGCTTCTACTTTAACTTAGAATAATGTACATAATTAATTTTGAGTAGTAGAGGCAACATGGTAATGTACAAAATCTACATATACAAATTACATATTGTGCAATTTTTTTCTTAGGTGTCCAAGTACTTAAGTGAATTCCTTGTGCTTTCCATTAAAATGTAGTAGTTAGATAAATGCCTATATACTTTTTCTCCCTAACTGCTTATGTAGGAGATGAGGTTTATGGGTCTGAATTACCTCCAAGTGAGGGAGAGATATGCAGTTTTCCACATCCTGCATGAATTTTTAAATTGCTGAATTATATCACAGAAGTGGCGTTAAAGGCAGTTGCTCTTTTACTAGTGTAAGGCTTGATTTAGTTGATATGCTTTGGGAACCATTAGATGAATATGTTTCTGAAACAAGCAGGTATTCTCAGTTTCTGATTCCGACTGAGAACACACACTGAACTTCTCAGCTCAGGAGGTACTGGCCATGCCCAGAAGCAGACATTAAGTGTCTGTGAAATTAATACTAAACTTCAGATGTTTCTGAACTGAATGGTTTTGAAAATTTGGGACTGAAGTCCCAATTGTATCAGCACAGGCAGCAATTAAGCATCTTTTATGGATTCACTCCTATTTGCAATATTCAGAGCAGGTTTACGCAAATGGAATAATAAATGAAAGAGAAACCAGTAATAACTGTCAAAAGGTTAAAGATACAGTACTATAATGCATTCCAAGCAGCACAAATAGAAAAGGAAATATGTGCATGACAAGCAGCTGCTTATGCAATGTTATGGCACCTCAAATTTTGAGGCATTTTACAGTTTCAAATACTTCGCAAATTTGTAAAACTGAAGATGAAAAAACAGCCTTAACCAATGCGCTACTTGTGCTACCTCATCATAAAAAAACCCCTCCAGCCAAATAAGCACTGTACTTCTGAGTTCTGAATTTGGCTAAGGTTTCTCTTCAGAAAATTAAAACTTACTAAAGAACTGCAAAGCAGCTTACCTGTCTATTCTTCCTCACCAGGCCATATAATCACAGCTTGTTAGTTGAGGTCCATTTTCACAAGAGTGAAAATTAATGCTATTGTAAATAAACATGACTATCACATTGAAGGTATAAGAGAAGCAGCCCTCTTACGCACCTCTAGTTAGCAGAAGGATCCAGCAAAGATTAGGTCTGTACTAAAGACTGAAACAATATTCTTTGCACACATTTGGATATCAGTTAAAATGTACTTTTACCTCTCCTGACATATCAGGTGCCATAGGAATGACTGGCCACAAAGAAGAGTAGATTCCAAAAAACACTACCCAAAGTGCTATGCTGCCCCAGATAGCTATATGGCTGAACTGTTAAAACAAACAAACAAAAAAGAAAACAGAACAATAATCACAGATGTATTATGGCATAAAAAAAGATCTTTGCTACTTAGTATTTACAATGTGGTTCTGATATATTGGATGAAATTTCCGTGCATTGTATTAATTTAACTCTGCTACTTCAGTTAACTATTTCTTAAAGCAAGATGATACTTTCAGCAGCAATATTACTGCATTTTAAGCCAATTTAAGTTCAATTACAATGAGTTCAGAGTAATTTGATTTTTCTTGTTTAAGGATGACTTTACGCCTTACCCAAATGTCCTCCTTTTCAATAATAAGCATTATATTTTGTATGTGGGCATTTTGTCTTTCCACACAGTAACCACAGTTTAGTTTGATACTGTGGGCAGGGCTGACAAACTGTAAGGGCGTAATATAATAAATAAGAAGAAAATAATACAATTATTCATGCATCGTATTTTATAGAACATTTGAGAATATAGTAAAGACATTTGCTTACCAAAGTCCAATATGAGGTCTCTAATCCAGCCTTCAAGCACACAGTTAGAACCACAAACTTGAGAGAGAGAGAGGGGTGGGGGGGATTGTTATTTAATATGGGAATCTTACTTAACATACAGAATTGATTAGTTTTGTTAAACTTTCAGGAGAACAGAAGAAAAAGTTTAATGATTTTCATATTTCATGTTTAGTTGCACAAATGAAATAAGGGAAAGGACAATCAATCTCTTCAATTTACATGTGATTTCCTTAAAAATACTCAACAAAGTACTGTGTGTGTCAATGCACCTAGCTGTGTAATAGGATCCAAACCAAAGTTCATAAAGCAGAAGGCAATCATTTCTACGGACCTGCAGAAGCTATGGAAGACCCCTTCCACTTTAACAGAATCTGCTCCCCAAAAAATGTAGGACTCTCAGCAGCCCCAAAGTGAAATTCTTTTAGACCACAGCTCTCTGTATTTTTCCTCTTTTTTTGTAAGTGTGTGTGCTTAGATCTGAAGTTTAAGTGCCCCTTTGAAATGACCACAGTAAAATGCTACTAGATTTAAAGATACACTCCAGTAATGAGCTAGTAATAGAACACTAAGAATTATTAGCTTCTATTAATAATCTCCACTCATTTGATTTGGAAAACTCTTCTTTTGTATTAGAAATCTTAAACATTTCCCTCGCCTCCTAGAACTCTGCAAGTCTGGCTCTTACTGAGTCGTTAGCTTCTTTATCAATGGTATTTTGGTTACATAGAAAGGTTTGTGAAAAGTGTAGTCCACTTCAGTAGAGACGGCAGACCCCTTAGTTATGGAGAAGATGACTACTACTTTCTACATGAAGACAGATTTAGAAGATCTACATGCTGGGTTGAAAACTTGCAATTGACCAAGCTTACACTAGTCTAAATTAAAAAAGGAGAAAAAAAAAGAAGGAGGAAAAAAAAAGGCGAAAAAAAAAAAGAAGGCAAAAAAAAAAGGTGAAAAAAAAGGCGAAAAAAAGTTTTCTTTACTTCATTAGTACTTTGTTGGTAAATGAATCACCTTTGCCGAACCCTGAAAAGTCAAAGAGTTAAATGTTGGCAGCCTGAGACGTATGTTCTACATACAAAATAACACACTGAATGAGTCTGTTATGTCATTTTTCTTCTTCTCTCTCATATTAACTCTTTTCTTATCTTTACTCTTTTTATGGAGCAGTCTCTGAAAATGTCATGTTATTGTCCTGTAGGACATACTCCATTTTAGTTTAGAGATGAGCAGTAGTAGAAAGTTTATAACCCCACAGCAAGTACTAGCTGATTCAAGAAAATTGTTTATCTCCTTCCTTTGAAATTCACACAAACAGGTTTTCTGTTTAGCAAAGAAATAGTTACTATGTTTTGTAACTCACATGTGAACATGTATCAGAAGCTTTGCTTTATATGCAATTTGAAGAACATGAGTCTGAAAAACTGAGTCAAAGACCAAGCTCCAACTGTAACAGCTATAGTTTTAGCTCTAGTCTGTTGGCCAGGTTGGCAGCAATGACGTGAGTGAATTCGTGGTTGAACTTCAAGGAGCCTCAGAAACTCAGAAGAAATTTACTTCAATCAGAAGCTGAAAATAACTGGTTAAATATATTTGACAAGTCTTTCACTATGTCTGGTACACAGAAGGATACAAATCCTGCCAGAAAGCTTTCACCCTAGCTATAAGTTTATGCTTTTAATTCTGGAATCTCCTATTTCAACTACTGCTTCATTGTTAAGGACAAAAAAAATCACAGTGCCACAATTCCATTATCAAAACCATGTGTGAAATCTAATTAGAAGAAAATTAAGGACCTTGATGAGTGATATAATTTGCTTAGCCTATCCAGTTCTGGTGTTATATTTGGATGAGTGAAAAGAACTAATTATGGCAAAAAATACTTCTCATCTGGTACACTTGCTTGCTACTTTTGAGACAGTCGTAAGAAAAGAAAACATTCTTCTTCAGGATCAGATCAAAAATTCTCATTGCATGGACAAAATGAATACACAGCACAAACACTGCAGGTCTCTATAAAGGGAGACATAAACTATGTGAATAAATACCCTCCTTGCATCTTAACTGCTTCCCCTAACAAAGTTACCAACTACACACAGCGGCTTACCGAAGAATTTGGGTTTTATTGCTCACTCCTCCCCTTGATCCAAACTAATAATAGCTCATTGAATCCTACCCAGGAAACAAGAAATCAAGCTGGTATTCTGTATAAAGCACTGAGCTTTTTTTAAAAAGACCTCTCAAGAATGGTCATACAAATATTTTCATGGCACTCTACTGTTATTTGAAATTTAGTTTGAAGAAATAATTCCAGGACATGATATGAATCAGTGCACATTCCTGACTTTCTTTGGGGATCCAAAGAAACTATATTGATTTCTGAATCCTTTTGCTACTGTTTTTGCACAAGTGCTGAATGCAGACTTCCTAAAACCAGATCAGAACAGTGGGAAGAATGCAAAGTACCTCAGCTTTATGATTTTGATATCTGAAGACAATGAGTGAAAACTATCAGTGCACATCACTTCACATGCACAGATTTCTTAAAAAAATTTTCAAATCCCTCCCCCGCCCAATTTTGAAAGCCTCTCAAATCTTCATGTGTGCTCCAGACCTCCTTGAATTCCTGTGCAAGAGCAGGAATACATCAATTGCGACCCCCAACCCTCCCCAGATTTTCAGTCAGAAGTGAAGGACAGTGGAGAATCTGGAAGACAAATGAAAAAGCAGGTTGTCTGGAATTACAATGATGAAATAATGTTTTCTCAGGAAATTCTTGGCCATTCAGCAGGTTAGTAGCAAGCAATTAGCCTCTCAAGATGGTGAAGTTTCAGCTCTCCTAGTTGAAAACCAGTTGCAGAAGGTGACAGAACAATTGCACTATGACCTCTGTTTTATCATTTATGGATACAGCTTGACAAACAGTAATGAGTAGCTCCAGGTTACTATATTGAAAGTGTCAGAAATAAAGTAATATCTGAAGGTGGTGGAAAATTTTGCTGCAAATCTGAAAATGCAGTCTTTGATGTTTGTGAGTCAGCTGATGTCACAGATGATACCCAGATGTTCTGCAGTACTGTAAGATTTCAAGACTTATCCATCAACTGATGGGTGACAATCTAAACCACAGCTCTTTTTGAACACTCAGTTCTACAGGACCTACTGTAATCCAGTAAACTCTTAGTACAGCATATGTAACTTGTTTTCTCCTGGTGTCAAACTTGGCTTTTGGAAGGAAGCACAGACCAGAACGACTGGGTAGGATGAAGTTCTGAGATCACTTCAGGAAAGAACTTCAGCTGTGACTGCAGCAGTATGTTGAATAATTGGGTTTAACAAGTACATGGTGCTAACTCACTCTACAAAATGATGGACAATACAAGGATACTTTTAGAGCAATCAAACAAAAGGCGATGCTATCAGAAAACTTGGCTTAGGTGCTAGGATAGGTGAAGTCATGCAACTCATGTACATACAATTCATAAAATAAACTTCAGCTGAACCAAGCAAGGTTGTGACTTCTAAGTACAGTAAACAGTGAAACATTTGTAGATAGGATGAAAACCTGGTGCAGAGAACCTCTCTCCAAGAAGAACCTGTTTCACTTAGAACAACAGATGGTTCTGGGAGATACTCTTATGAAGTATTTATCAATATTGGAGAAAGCAGTGACATTCAGATAAATGACTGACTTCTAAACACTGCTCAGTGCTATGAGGTTGTAGTACAGACACACCTGTCAGTCGAACTACTTCTGTCAGCATAGAGCTATGACAATGACTGTGACCTTACATCTTAAGTTTATTAAAACTTGCACAGAAAACACTTACCCAGGATATTCCATCCATCCCTAGTGGAGATCAGTTCATCATATGATAAGATTGCATGATCATACGCAACTAGTGCTGACAAAACATGCTGTGCTTGGCTTTTGGAACAGGGAAAGGGAAGTGTAGAGCAAATAAACTTTTAAGAGAATGTATGAACAAACAGTTTTTCAATGTGCCTGAAAGAACCAGTTTAAAGTCCATGTACGGACTGGCAGAAGAAACATTTTAACTGCCACAGCAGTAGGAGATACACAGAATGGGCTGTGGTTACTCAGCCCTTTATGCTCTTTAACCTTTCTGGTTAGCTGACCAGAAAACGCTATTCAAAATGTTCTCTCATACATAGAAGATGTTGACAGTAGCTACATTCTCAAAGGACTACAATGTATTCTAGAATACTTTCCTTTTATTTCAGCTACAATGTTTCCCTATTCCCCAAGGAAATAAATTTTGATGTGAAATTTGTATTTGCATTACAGCCCCCTTATCTTGATGGAAGAATTAAGTTCTTATTTGTATCTGCCAACAACAGGAAGTTGAAAAATTAATTAAACTCTTAACGTTGAAGAACACAGGAGAGTAAGCACAAGTCTAATTTTGCTTCTAAGAGAGATCTTGGAAAACCCTCATCTATTGGGCAACACTGACACCCAGCAAGTGAAAAACAGGCATTTAGCTTCACTGATTTATTCCAGGAGATAAAAGATTAAAAGAAAAAAAACCCAGTAATGACTAATATCTACGAGAGTAACAGAAGATTACTGTTAGGTGCGGGTCAGGTGTAATTCTGGCAGTTCGGCTGTCCCCAAAGAGGCATCCCACAAATCTTGGTTCTGTGTGGCTCTCAAGGCCCCATGATAAATTAAGAGAGGTAGAACAGGATTGTATCTTCACAAGTCCACAAACCACAAACCAGTTCCATATCCAATAATCTGGGACTTCTCCAATGCAGAAACTTACGTTAAATTATGAGCGTGCTAGTTAGGGAATTACAATTCCCATTATTTAAAATATAGACAGTTTCCAGTAAAGGACAGATTATCTTCTGCATCTTTAATAAACTGCTTTGTTTTAAAAACTGGAATTAGAATGCAAAACACACTTCAAAGCTTCTCAAAGAGTCATTCAAGTGCCATTTCTTATTCTTAAGGCACTACAATGAATCAAGTCTTCTATGTAGAGAATTATAAATAATAATAAAACCACATCTACTTAAGAGTTAAAGATAGAGCCAAGATAGATAGTCAGCTGATAGAGCACCAGATAGCTGTAAGAAGACTTACAGTGTATACAGTGTTCCCCAGGAGCAGGTAATCTGAAGTTTTACCATTGCTGAATACGGTACCTGGAGAAGGAAACAGTGATAAAAATATGTAAACATTTAACTATCCACAATAGCACTATATATATATCTAAAATCTTATTTTTGGTACAAAAGAGATGGTAGCACTTCCTACAGGGTACTAACAGCAGATTTCACCTTGAACTGTATTGAACAGTAGAGATCTATGACTTTTACAGTTTTCAGTCCTTTAAAACTTTCAGTGACTTCAGGGATTATGCTAGAAACAGAAGCTTTTTGTAACATCATATACCAATATGAGTAATAATGTATCCAGTAATAATTCAATTAGAGTGACTTTTCAGATGAGAGATACAGTATCTTACCTTCAGAAAAATATGAAATATCGTTACTATGGTGTACGTTGATTGTAACATATAAGTCAACAGAAAGCTTAGAGAGTCAGATTTTCACTGATTCTGGATATTTTTGGTATAGTAACTTATCTTTGCTCTTATCCATATTTCTGAAATTCAGTTTAAGTAAAATTACAACATATATTAAATTTTAATTCTTGAGATGCTTGTTATTCATAATATTTTCAAAATTTACCCAACTCCAATCTGTAGATCCATTTTGCACACATAGATACACACAGAGCATTTATGCAAAGAATCAGTTCCCTGAAGAGATGCGTTTGCATAAAAATCACATCTACTGTGGTTCTTAAGCTCAGAATTCCGAAGCAGTGCATTTATGCTTATTTAACAGAACTCATTTTACAACTATTGCTACAGCACAGGCTTTTCTGATCCCAGTTCTGTGAAAGTTCTTGGCAGACGTGGGACAACACACTACTGAACTATCTGGAGTGAATTCCTCATTCTCAGTGAGAAGTACTGAGCTTGCTAATTTTTTACGTGTTCAGTTCAGAAATACTTTTAGCACTTGAGATAGTTGCTCATATACTGCAACTAAACCAGAACACTTACTCTGCTGTAGAGGTTCTAATCACTGGGATATTGCTTTTAACTGCCATCATATAAAGAGTTATCAAAATACTGTGCATGTAGTAAGGAAGGATGAAAGTACAAGACAAAAAAAAAAAAAAAAGGAAAAATAAAAACCCCTAATGCTGAGAGAGCATAAGGAAGGATGTTTTTAAAAAGCTGTTTGGGGAAGGAGAAGAATAAAGGTGTTGGGGGGGGGGGGGGTGTGCGGTTCAAGGGAGGTTTAAAACTCCTCTGATTGGGCTGGCCAGAGGAAGGTGACAAACTGATAAAAATGATCTGTAGCTGAAAACACTTATTTTTCCACCATCCCCAGCTAGCATATGGTGTATTAAATTCTGCTAATTAAGTATGTTTTCATATTTGTGTTGAGTGTTTTTCCAGCCTTCGTATCACCTTTACACCTGCTTGAAATGAAATTCATTTTAGTTGTGGATGAAGAGTGCTCCTTTCTAAAAGCTTTTCAGGACTGTGAGGCCAGTTTATCACAGAAAAAAAAGTCCTATTGATTGATATTCTGGAAGAGACAGCAGGTGAAAGTTCACACAAAAAATTACAATAAAAATGCTTGCAAACAGTCCTCCTTAACCTAGCCCTCTCCCATTCCAAGATGAGGAGCTCACAATGGCTGCCTCCTTAGCTCTAGTGATACTGGTTGCACTCCTGGCACTTTCCTGACGTAACTTTCTCCCTAGACAGACTAGCACACCACAAAGGACTACAAGAGCTCTGGAAGCCTGAAAACAAAGCTGAGACCATGGCTTATTTCAAAGGTTATACAAAAGAGGGAGCAGTTGGTGGATTTACTTGTAGATACAAGTTTGGCTTCTGTCATTTACGGTTACGTTGACAAAGCTGCATCAGAAAAAACTTCTGGGAAGATTTATGTCCTTGTCACTTTTCATATCCACATGACAGTACATGGAATGCAAAGACTCTAGTTTCGTGTACTGGACAATGATTAGATCCCACGGAGCAAATTCTGACAAACAATTCTTACAAATCCATACCTATTCTCTCATTGCATACTTCTTGGTAGACTCTACTACAATGCATGCAGTTTGAAATTCTCCACTTACAGACAAGAAAGAGGTGGACAAGTGAGACAAGAGTAAACAGGAGAAAATGCTCAAAGGATAGACTGTAAGCTCTGAGAGATTTTACTGATCTTCAGGATTTGATTTTCAACGTTCTAATAAATACCTGCTCAAACATGCACTCTGCTGCTTTACAATATATACCTAGCAGTAAAGAGCATAATGTGGATAAAACAGAGGAACAGACAAGCAGCTAAGTCTGTTCCAATCAGTCAGAATGCTGGGACTCAGGACTCTTAGGCACTAAGCTTCCTTTCATGTCTCGGGATCCTCCTGCACCTCTTCTTTGCTAAGAGAAGTTGGAGGCTGAGACCTGTTCACAGAAGTTCCTTTCTCTGGTGGATCTCTCTGGCACTCATCAGCTCCTCCCTAGAAAACTAATAGCATTATTTCCCTTTCCTCTTTACACACACAGCCATCAGAGATTTAATTAACAGCAGCTCCCATTCTGTGTTCATTTCCCCTTCATGCAGAACTCTGCGCACCAGCCGAACCCACGGTAGGTACTGGTCATACCACCCACCACGTACACAATCCCCAGGTCCCAATTCTGCTCCCCTTACTCATCTGGCCTTTCTCTAGGAATGAAAGAGGAAGACAAAAGGCAATTTGTTCAGACTTGTAGAGGCAACTTGCCAGCAGGTCAGTTCTAGCCCAGGAGCTGTGAGCTGAAGAGGCCTGCACTACAGTGCTCTCACAAGAGCTTGTGCAAGTATCTCAGCTTTGCCATTCACACATGAACTCTATTCTGCTTCACCACATAAACTCATTAAACATTTCTCCATCATGTAATGCATAAATCTCCCACATGGACTGGCTACAGCTTTGAATGGGGATTTTGGTTTGGATTTCAGGTTGTGGTTTTAGAGTATGCATTGACATTTTGGGACCTCTTTCCTCCTGGGCTGTCTAAACCTCTCCAATGCAAACCGCTGCCACTGAATGCACACCCAGCAGCCTTTCAGAGAAAACAGGCTGCTACCTACTTCCTTTTACCCCTCAGAAATCACTGAGTATAAAATACTCTGCAAGAAGTCTTCCCCTTAACCTTTTTGGGCACAAGCAGCTGTGACCGTCTCACTGTCTAGCCTCAACAGTTCCAAAATGTCCATGAGATTATTTTTGTTCCCTATCTCAGGGCAGACTGCTCGGCTACATTGGGGAAATGGAGCAGACTGCTAATTTTACAGCAAAGCTGCAGGGTACACACTTTTTTCTCCCCACAAAGTGGAAGCAAAACAAACCCCCACCCCTATGAGAGCTCCCATACACACACACATTCCCACAAACTGGAAGCAATGCTTTAAAGTTAATTTAATCCCCTAATTAATACAGCTTTCCTCCCAACTGTCCTGTTTCTTTCTGCAACTCAGGTGCATATACAACAGCTGAACTAGAAGAATGACAGGACTGAGCTGTCCAAGATGTGCCAGGTTCCTCTGTCACAAGCCTACTCATATAGATGTAAACTAATGGGTTAGTATGCTCCTGAAGTAACAGGAAAGAAGGTATACACATCAGCCATAAAAGCTTACAAAATAAGAGACAAAGACAGTAGTGATTTAGGATCTTCTAGGTATTTACCATGGTGGAGTATTATATGAAAAAACAGCATAATTAAATAGCAGGTCTCTTTTTCTCCATTGTGTTTCAGTTTACTTAAAACCTATTTATATAGTTTTATGCATATGTACATAACATTACTCCTACTTTGAAACAGATTTTAAATAAAACATTTTAAATACACTGCATCTGCTCTAGTTCCAGAAATGGTATCTTGAAATTTAATCACACAAAACTGTTAGCATTTATAAAGCTTTCCTAAGAAAAAAGAAGGTGTTTAGATATTTCATACCTTTCAAGATTTATATTTTTATTTTTCGTAATACTTACCATGCTGGAGGGCTTTTAGTGGAAACCAAAACAGAATGAATGAGTGGAAGAGGCCATTTAAACAATGAACCCAGAAAACCTAAGGGAAAACAGAAAATCCATGAGAACCATTTGCAATAAACTAGCTCTGTGAACCCTGACCTTTCTTTTTATCTGTGTGTTAGGTTCACAAAACGTGTTTCTTTCAGGCCACCACTGTGAAGTAACATAACTGACAGGCACTTTCTGCCTCTTAGCTCTTCATGGGTCATTTGTTTATTTTTATGTTTTGAAAAAACTGTGTGTATTATCTCCTTTTAATTTCAAATCAGAAGGGAAATTAAAATGTATACATATGGGAGTATCATCAGAAAAATTAAACTAAACCAGACAACTGGAACAATGCTATATTCTAAGTGGGGAACTAAGGACTCTATCTTTCATAATTTACATTTCGTGTAATAAGAAATTTGGAGAGTAGAACAATCAAAACCTGAGTTTTACATATGCCTTCCTACATATTTCCACATACGAAGGAATTAAAAAAGGACAAATAAAAGTATCTTAGATTCCTCCTTACATGCTCCATTCTTGAAGTGCACAACTTCATCATACCAAACTTCCTTTAATGTATTCCCTAAATAATTCAAATTTTACTTGCAAACTTATTTTCATTTGTAAAATACCCCTTCTGAAAAGAACCGTATTAAGGATAAATAACCTATTGATGCTTTCTATAATATATTGTATAAAGACACAAAAAGACTTAATCAAAAATACGTAACCCATTTCCTTCAGGATAGCAATCGTGTTTTTTCATTAACAACGCTTTTGACAATCATATCCTTTATTGTAACTAACTGATGTGTATTATAAGTGTTAAGGTGTTCAAACAATTGAAATTAAGTTGCCTGCCTCACAACATTTTCCACAATGTCTCAAAGTCTTTTGTTAGATTATACAACCACACTAGGTTGTATGATCCAATTTACACTCCAACACTTTGCACATTTGAACTTGTGCTACTCATTAACCTTTGTCTCTCCTTCTTGCTATGTCATTACCAGAAGTTTTTATTTGACAGAAAGCACAGGTGGGTGCAAGAAAAATTAGTTCTACTTTTCCATTTTCCTGACCAATTCTTATTGTCACATGCTAATCCTTTAACCTCTGTCATGACCTCATAACCTTTGATCCCTTTTACCATAACAAACATCTGCATCAACATTCAAGGCAGTAATGTGTCCAAATCTTTAACACCAACTATTCAGCTTGTATAGGTGGGAATTTTGTAGTTGGGAAGTTTGTATACGTTTACTCATAGCAAGTGTTGTATGGGAATAGCCACAGAATTTCCAGTGAAGTTAACAATACATACATGCAATAATAAAAGTATTACAGACTTAAAACCAGAAAAATCCAACAATTGTAATTCACAACTTACATGGTTTATTAAAACAATCACAACACAAAAGTGTCTGTATTAATGGACTAGGAAAAGTCTGATATTTGTAAAGCATTCACAGTGACACAAGAAACTATTTTCCCTAGTTTCCTTACAACTTTCAGGTTTGATTTTGTGGGTGAAGGGATGAAGCAAGGAAGAAGGAGAAAAATCTCATATGCTTCAGTGAACAAAGATAGTTTAAACAAATAATTCTATATAGACAGGGTAGTCCAGTTTTACAGCACAAGTGACACAGATATGAGAGCTAAGTATGCTGTATCAGACCACCACTACAGACCAGTACATGTAGGTATTGTTAATTCAATGACAGATAGAAAATGTCCCCAAGTTCAACATACAACGACATTACTTGAAATGTCCCAATTGTATTTAGAAAAATCAAATAACATCAGAAGGAATTCTTATAAACATCATGCATTCATGAAATTGCAGATTCAAGAAAAAGTTTCATTTAGGTTTAAGAGATTATTTAGGGACAAATCTGTAGAAATTGTGTGTATTTTATAAATTAAAGAGTCTTACATTTTTTTACTGCTTCTTGTGCTAGTCTCTCCAAGATGAATGCCACCTATTTCTGACGAAAAGTAGCCTCAGATTCCTTTTGATCCACCCTGACACATTCTTAACTGTCTCCAAGTATTTTTTGCCAAAACTCAAAATTAAACCATAAAATCACAACTCCAAATTGACAAAGAATAGTACCAAGTCCCTCCCTCTACAAATCTAATGACAGTTCTTTTTGTCCTCTGCAACACTTCTTCACAGGCTTCAGTAATCCATTTCCATATAGCAGTACAAATACATACAGCCTAGCGACAGAGAGATCTAATCACTTCTGCCTATAGAAGACAGCTTTATTACTAGCAGAGAAAAAAAATCAGGGCTGAAAAAAATAAAACGCTTGCTGCCCATTTCTGTACTTGCTAAAAATGGATAAATATGATTTGCACCATTCACAGACAAATGGACAACTGGAAAGAGTAGTAACAAAAATCCCTTCCATTTTTATACGAGCAGCGTAGAACAGAAAGGACAATGATACTGAATTCCCCTTAATTTCTGCTTTAATTATATTTCATTTTTTTATTCTACCTTAGTATTAAAGTCCAGTGCATTTTGGGAAGTCTTGTATAACTCCGGATATTTCAGCATGTTTTCTTTTCGACAGGATCTCTCAAATATTCCAAGAGTTAGTGGAGGCATTGCTGTAAACATCTAGCAGACAGATTAAAAAAACCCCAAAACAAAACAAAAAAAAAAAAAAAAAGTGAACATATTGCAAAACTTTAAGAGGTGAGGACTTGCTTAAAGATTGCTTACTCTAGAAACTTTCATGATTATGATTGAAAATAACTGAAAACACACAAATCATCTTACCACGTTGTAGAGACCTATACACCATCTTTCAAAAAGAATTTGTCCAGAAAAGCCATTGACAAAAGCAAACCAGATCTGAAAAAGAGGAGAAACGTATACTACTCAAATGTGAGGTGTGATTAGTAGATATTTTTTTTCTCAGATTCACAAAAAGGGGTATCCCCAGAACACATTTACAACACAGTTGAGGATGTTATGGCTTAACCATATATAAAAAAAAATATAATAATAAAACCAGCTTGTGTTCAGAACAGATAATGGGCAATCTAGTCAAATATGTGAGCAATTCCATCTAAATATGAAAATATTTCAAGGAGGTAGCTATTTTCAGAAGGAATTTCATGTTTGTTAAGTATTTAAGAGTGATTTAGCTCACTGCATTTCTATTGTACTTAATTCTTAATGAAATAAAAATTCTGAGAAATATCAGGAGAAAAAAAGTATCACAGGACACACCTACAGATTAGAAGCAGACATCTTCTAATCATTAGCAAACCTCCTAACTAACGGAATTCCTACAGTAAGCCGCAGTTTGGAACTGAAAATTGTATCAATATTCCTTCCTCGTACATGAAACTCATTGGAGGATGAGGCTTTACCAGAGCACTAAATCAACTACCATTACTTAGTTAACAAGCACTAACTCAACTACAGAGTATTTTCGAGGCGCAGTTGGAAATCTCTTTCATTGCCTAAGTTTTATCACTTTTTGCTAAAAGGTTAAAAAAATGAAATTTAATTTGAAAGGCATGATGACACATTTTCTTATGTTTTTCAGTGCAGCATGACTGCTTCTATTTCTTACTTCACGCTTATATTAGTTCAATGACAAAGTGGAGAAGAAGCATGTCTGATGAATATTAACAAGCTACACTGAAACTGTATTGCCTATGACAAACATAAGCTGTAAGGTGACAGAAGCTAGGATCATATAAACATTCTACTCAATTTAAGACTCATGTTCTTCAAGTGAATGTTTAGATGCTGCTTTGCAGAAACTTTGCTACAGTTTGCATTTCATTTGACTTTATTATGGAAGCATGAATTGCTACAATCAATATGTATGTTTATCAATATGTACCAAGGCTGGCCTCCAGGTGACCAGATTCTATGAACAAGCTCACAGTATTTTACCATGTTGTGAAATGTTTCAACATGTGTGTGAATACTTTGAGATGGAAAAAACCCCCGAAATTAGCAACTATTAACACTAAAAATGGGAGTTAAAATCCAGCTAAAATTGCTATTTGTTCAACCAATAAATGAAAAGTAAATAGATTTTTTTGGCGGCCAATATTGGAACAAGATTGCATATAAAATCATGAATACTAGAGGCTGTTATATATACATATAAAATACACTGAATTTTCTGAAGTCTTATAATGCTAAATTTCTTTACTTTGATTGACTTAACAGAAACAAGCACTCTATTTTCTAACCTTTCCGTCTATTCACTGAAAAGACAATGGAATTACTTTATGCCAGTTAAATGAGATTTTTATAAGCTCTTGTGTATTTTGATTTTTGACTTTTGAAATAGGAATTACCATTTAACTGTGATGAATTTAGAAGACATTTATTAGCAGCAGTTTCTCAATAGTTTAATATGAGAGAGTGAGATGAGTGCATAATCAGTTGTTCATTTCTGAACAATTAATTATGCACTCAACATCAGCACAATTTCTGGATGTTTTACAACTAAGCTAAATGTGTGAACCTAATCCAGAACCTCAACACCACAGCTGGATACAAGCTGTGCTCCTCAACTGCCTTCTCTCTTTTCAACCTTCTCATTATACACAGTTCCTACATTCTGTTACTCCCAACTTAGGAAGATGGCTAGGAAGACAGCTCTTGAGAGAGGCGTGAAGGCCAGGTATTATTATGTGACTGACCCCTTAATTTTTTTTTCTTGTTTGTATCGAATACTGGAGTAAATTTTAGAATTCTTAATTTGAAAGGGTTTAAGGTGGTGGAAAAGGACAGTTTTAATAGAAAATATGTGACTCAGTAGTTGGGCACATGTACATTTACATGTACACTTATGTATACATATAAATATGTATACATATTTATATACGTGTACATCTCGTTGGTAATTTCAGACAGAGTTTAACAAAAGTATGACTCTCTAGGAAGAAAATAAAACAGACTGCAAGTAGACATATACTTAACCCTTCATAACCAGGGAGTATATGCAAAGAACATTAACTTTCTGTTCTGATCTAACAGTCAAAAACTTCTAAAACTTTAATTGAAAACATACATGTACCGAATCTATTCCACATATTCACTTCTATTAAAGGTAAGTGATGATAAGCAACACTTGAAAATGTTTTGGAGTGACTGTTTTAAAGAAATGCAAGAATTTATGATAAAATTTCAATTTACAGTGAACATCATATATGAAGTCACTGCCAAGCCTCTCAGAAATGCTCTGCATCATGTTATTTCTTAAAACCCCTGATTCTTTCACTGTATTTTGTACAGAATTTAAGTTAAAATTTTCAAGCTATTTAAACTCTGAAAACTAGTTTCACAGTAGAATTGTAAAGAAGTCCTTTAAGTTATAATAGTAACTTCCTGAAATCTTAGCATTTACTTTCTTCCAAAGAAAGCATGCAAGTTACAGGCATTTCAGTTAAGTTTTGGTGTAGTAAGGAACTGGAACAAATCTTGGGCAGAACTCTAGATGCAAGCCAAGAAGAAATGAAATTTGGTAACAAACCTGGGTTCTAAAATTCTTGTTGAATCTATCAAAAAATCTGGCTGGGAAGAGAAACCTTTTAATGTGGCTAAAAACAATGCCCTCTGTAGTAGAAACACTACTATTCAGTGGAATACCAGATATACTACTTTAAGAGGTAGAGCATCTTTAACACCTAAGCAGAAACACGGATTTTCTATTGTATGCAAGACAGTATTTGAATATTCACATTAAGAACACCTATGGCTCAAAAATAATTAGCAGATCTGGGGGTGGTGGTGTCAGGGAAGCAGCAAGGATAAGTACAGCCCCTCAGCTCAAACTGTAAGAGGGGAAGAAAGTAAGTCACCCATTTACCCTAACTTCTGAACCTTGGACCCTAGAAAATTAGACTCTTAACCATACATAAAAAAAATTCTATGGAGCTTACTACAGTATTAACAGTGACAAGAACACACACACAGAGTGGGAAATTTATTCATGGACAAGTGTGTTTCATTCTGATTATGATGAACAATGATGGCAGCTATACCTGCAAAAGAAGTTTTTAGGACATGTTGTACATGATACTAATTTAGGAGCAGATTCGGCCACTTCTCTCCTAGGGGGCAGGTCCTATTCTAACAGCTCAAATTACTAGTCCAGCACCCCTATAGAGAAGGACAGGAGATAGGTGTCCTTGAGAAGTAATTTAGACTATGTAAGTGAGGGAGAAGTGAAAATTCAGACCATTTTATAGTTAAATTACTACATAATTTGCATTGAAAATGAAAGATTTAGGTTCATAGCCCATCTAAAATGAGGTGGGCCTCAATGCAGATCCTGTATTTCTAAGTTTTCAAACCATATAATACAAAAAAGCAGGCATGAGCACAATTACTTTCTACTATGTTTTAAACTGAACTCAGTGCAATTTGCATACATGAAGTATGCCACGGCATACTGAACAACAGCACTTAACTCTACAGCTCAGAAGCAGTGTGAGTGCACACAGAAAGCCTGCTCATGGCTGGGGTTATGCATGATATGGGTATCAGTATGACCACAGGCATGTGTCAGGCAAAGGAAATCGGGAACAAAACGGTAAACTTCAGTTATGGACATGAGCAGCAGAAAGTGTGTAATTCAGCAGTGGGATGAAAAGGGCTTGCGGGGAAATAAATAAATAAATAAATAATTAAAAAAGGATAACCATCATCCAAAGTTTACGGAACGAAGAGAGGCTGTTACAGCTCTAATTACTTCATATAACTGAATTGTTTACATTTTATCACTTAAATTGTCACAAATGGCCATTTTTAAGGATCTGTGACTGAACTTTAGATGTGAACTCTATGCATTTGTTTCTTCTGTTTGTGTCCTGGTCTTTCACTCTTTTGTTTGAATTTTCCCCTACATGAAACATGAATGACCTATGCAGATCTTCAAAAATTACTGTTTTTTTAAAATTGTAAACATTTTTTATTTAACATAAAACAGTTATTTTATTTTATTACTAGTTACTACTAGCTAGCAGAACAAAAAGTAGGAATAGGAAAATTTTGTCCCTCCAGTGTTGGAGGGAGATTTGCGTAACTTCACAAAATAAGTAGTTTAACAAAGAAGTATATGCACTAATGGTAATTATAAACCCAAAACCAATCCACAAAGGAGTTCTCAATCACTAGATCAATCTCAATCCCAACCGTCATTATAAGGTAATGACAGCCCCCTCAAAAGACTCCACATAGGCTTATGCTATGTGAGTGTGAGGCTCAGTACAGGCTTAATAATGCACATTAGCAGTCTATTAGAAATTCAAGTTTTCACTTGCAATTTAGAACGATACTTCAGAATATAACCTCTAAAGTTACTGGGACTAGACCCATACAAAAGATGAGGCCCATGTCTAAATATCTATTGCATCAAGACACAGAGTAGAAAAAATTATTACAGACCACTTCTGGCTCCTTATGAGTAGGAGTTTAAATGTCAATAAATGCTAATCACTGTGCAGAAGTATTACTATAGACCTTCACCATTTTCTGAACCAAGAAACCAATGCCACTTATTTCGTATCGCCCCATGAGTGCCTAGGAAAAAGGCTGTATTTTACATTAAATGGAATCTATTACATTGCTTGTTTGATTAGTACTGAGCAGACATTTAAAAATATAATATGCGTCTATTAAGTATTTTTAGTTATTGTCAGCTAATAAAAGGAAACTTGTTTAAAGCAACTTCCAGACATGCCTTTCATAGTATTATTTTCTAAACTCCAAGACAGAGGAGGCGTGGCCACAAAAGCTTCACAGACATTTTCCTGATGTAGCATTTCTGCATATTAAGCAGCAGCTTACAAATACTCATTGAGCTCTCTGCTCCCACGCCTGATCCGTACAAAAAACTGAAAAGAGAGATTCAAGACTGGCAGTTGTCCTTTCTAGAGACATTCAGTGATGAATTTCTGCCCATTCACTCACAGTATTGACATGGGCTATTAACATCTGTGAAAGTTTTCTGAGCTGACAAATGTTGGGTATGCAGGAATTCAAGCAGAAGTCATCTTGTCTTCCAGAGAAGGTGTATATGGTAAAATGCTTGTATGCATTATATATAAAGGGTCATAACCCATATAAAAATCATCTCTTTGCCCTTCCATCCGCTCAGGAGGCAGAGATTACCTCTTCTAGTCTTTTGTATTTTTAGACTATGATCTCTTTACCTTGCATTTAACTTTCTTTCACAAAGAATGCAAACAGTGGGATATTTATATCTGATTTAAGTTATACAGTTACAATGTGTTTAGAGGTGACAATGACAGAAAATTAAGAAAAATAAGGTAGTATCTTCTAAAGCCCAACTTTGTATGTTTTCTATAAACACAAAGTATACATTAATACTATTTCTTCAAATACTTCAAGAGCAACTGCTAATCAGTACTTCTGGAAGTCTGATCATTAATCAGATATTTAGATATATATTTTGAAATGCAGGATCTAAAGTCTGCCATCACTTCTAAAGCAAAAAAGAATCTGTAATGGATTTGCTTTTTCTATGGCTTCCTACTTTATGTTTTTCTAAACAGGCTACACACTTGTTACTACTTAGACTGAAATCTATTTATGTTAATAACACAATAAAAAGGAAAAAAGGAAAATTTAGAAAATGTAAAAAATATGCTAAGAAAAATGCATACTTTTTGGCTACAACACTTGTACATAAAAAGATGTTTAAAGTATTTTCAAATATTGCAACATTGTATGATCACATAAGTAAATATCAAAATCGGAAATATTAACCTAATGTTTACACCAGGTCTAACAGAAATAAGGCATTCTTTCAGTAAAAACTGGATACATACTGTGCAAGTTTAAGATATTAATTTGAAAATATATTAAAAAAAACTAAGAAAGTTTTAAGAATAACTGTTAACCCCATTAATGTAAAAATACAGAAGACTGATATAAAACTTATTTTGTGGTCAATCTTTGCAGCAACTTAAATTTTTTTCCCCACATTTTTAACCCAAAGTATCATTGTGACTATCAAGTTTGAATAAATTAAAAACATAATTACTAGATACATATTTAGTTATAAGAAAGCAAGCAACTGTTGAAAGAAAAAGAGGAACAGTAAATGAAGGGGGGAGAGAAAAAAAAATTAAAAATCTGTTTAAAAATATGTTCAAAATTTTAAGGTTGCCATGTGGTCATGAAGGTCATGAAAACTATAGCTACACATGCTGTCTTAACCATACCTGCCAATCAACACACATTTATTACAACACAGTCCTCTCATACATTTTTTCACAAGACTCCAGTCTCCTTAAAATCCCAGGTGAGAAAACTAGGTCAGCTACCTTCAGGAAAGTATCCCTGTTTGTGAACTAGAGCCTAAGGAGGCATGGTTAACCCATCAACAAGTGAAAGGTATGCAACAGTGGAAGTAAACATGTATGTAAAAACCTTAAGCACTGTTCTGAACAGCAACAGCCCTGCAGTTCAACAGTGACCTGAAAAAGGGCTTCAGATTGCAAAGTGGAGAGTTACTGACACCAGCTCAAAGAGCTTAAGCACATACATCTCTTGGTAAATTTAAAGCTACTTGTAACTGTATTCCTTAAATACTGTAATGATGTTATAGATACAGAATTTTAATAAGCTAGCAGTATTATGCAACCCAAACATTCAGTACTACTATTCAGTATGTATTTTTAAGACAATTGGGTCTTTTAAAGTAAAAAAAAAAAATTACTCTAACATTAATCAGTTTATTACAAAGCAAGATTCAGTACCAGTAAGTGTTTAACGACAGTTTAAATGCTTCTTTAAAACCATATATAATAATCAAAAGCTCAAAATAATAAAGTTTTTACTTTCAAGAAGTAACATTTACTGTATTGTAAAATTACCTCAATAATATAAAGGACTATATTCTTGTAGAAACAATACAAGATGCATTTAGCTACTCTGTTATAATTCCAGGCTCCATGAACCAACAACAAGTTCTTCAAATACTTGAACTGCAAAAAATGAAAAATGAACAAACATACAATCAGAACATGCATACACCAATATTAATCTGATATTAAACTACTTTATTGTAGTAGTTTACAGTGTAATGACTTACCTGAGCAATTGAGTAGTCTGAAGAATTAGCAGCCTGTAGACCTTCATTCCCACTAATACCAACACCAACATGTGCTGTTTGTATCATACTAACATCATTTGCTCCATCACCAATTGCTAGAGTTACTACCTTAACTTGTTTTTTAACCATTTCTACAACTTCAGACTTTTGAAGTGGTGATACCCTAAGGAGTAACAGAAAGAAAAAGGTTTAATACAGGACTTCCAAGTGAATGTACTTTCAAAACACACTTTATATTCTGTGAAAAGGTAATAACAACAGGCCAACTGTTGTCCTGGTCAGTGACACGGTCTTGTTATTGCCCTGTAGGCTATATGCTAAAAGCACATTCCCAGCGAAATTCACAGAAACCTTGGATTTGTTGAAGCAAGATGTTAATACGACTGGAGAGACATAGGTCAAACAGCAGTGGGCCCCTAAAACAGAATAATGGAAGAAACCCCAAACACTGCCACTACCAGTATTAACTTAAAACAATTGCAGATTTTGGCATATTTTGTTGTATGCTTTTTATTTTCCTCTCTGTTTAGGTATGTATTTTAGAAACAAACAACAAGATATTTAAGACACAGATGTCAAAGCAAACAGGAACAAACAGACAGACTGGACTACCACTATGTTAACATAGCCTACACTGCTAAATTAGAGGAAGCAACTTTGAACATTGACTTGATCCTCCACTTTGTTTAACTGCTGGTAACTTCTCCTTTGTTCTTTTCAGGACTGTTGCAATTGTCTGTCATTAAGAAAACGCCTGTCCACAGTTGAGGGGGCAAATTATTCCAGGGATGACTCAAAAGCTCTGTTGATGAAACTATATCAGTTTTGGCTCCATCTACCACTCTGTGTGTCACATGTGTACCTTCCATTTCATGTTGTAAAAGTTCTACTCTGTATGCTGAAATTCAGTCCTTGTCGTTTTTGAGACAACATAACTGAAAATAATATACAGAAATTATGTGCTAGGACAGGTATGTTTCACAGGGCAAGGAAGGGGAGGAGCAAACCCTAAGCAGTGTGGCAATCCACTTGCTTCCTGGCACTGGACTCAAGGATCAAACCCTGTCCCTCTTGTTTCATGGTACAAACAGAAACAAGAAGAAATGTAAAAAGCTCTGTGAGTCTGTCTCCCCGTCCCCGCCGCCCCTCCCATTCACTGCTTCCTACAAAGAGAGCAATTCTGGTACCAAAGCATGACTCCTGCTGTGGAGCTGGGGATGTGCAGCTGGTGAAGAACTGTCCTTTCCTCATCTATCTTTCCAGCTTTCCAGACAAACTCATTCTAGATGCCTCCATGCAAAAAGTAGACATGGATAAGTATACTGACACCAAAAAACAGGGGAAAAACTTATGCTTATAATTCATTTCCTACAAGTCTTCTATATGCACAGTCATGGCAATAACTCCTCTGGTACCATAAGCTTCTGGAACTTTGCAATTTGGGCTGTGAAAGATCGCCCTGCAGTGACAAAATTTCAGGGTTAAGGATATAGGGATGTTCATAACCTGACTTAACTCTTCCAGGTCAAAAAATAAAATAAAACCACAGAAATATACAAGAAACTAAGAATACAAATTTTGAGGAATAAATTTGCAAAGGAAAAGCACAAAAGAGCAGTTACTTCTAAATAATGTTCCTTCCTGAACACGCTCTGTATACTGCTGCTCACTGGGATACTGCCAAGTACCATGGACTGTGTAGTTCATGAGTACAGTTCTCACCTGAATCAAGGCTGCTGTATGGCACTCACAGGCTCAGTAAGAAAAAGAAACGTTACCACCAGACACCAAAAATTCAGCTGTATTATGGCACCTGTGCAGTCCTAAAGTTCCTCACAAAAGATCCTGCAAGCTGAAGGTCCCAAAGGCACCATTCTCATAAGTATGTGAATACCGGAAAGCTTCATAATACTTGAGAAAATTATACTGTTGTATTATTAATGAGATTCCTGATGGGCAAATCCTTTCTAGACTGAAGAATTACAGCTCAAACAATTCTATCAAATCTGGTAAGTGAATGTGGCAAAAAAATACTGTCCTATTTATATTGATTGATTTTTAAGATCAGAAAACCAGTGCTGATGAGGGCAATAATAAAAACAAGCCACCTACAAAAGAAACAAAATCTTTCCAACTATATACATTAGCCAAATTATTTTTCAGTACATGCATAATAAAATGTTCCTGTCTGCCCACTGATCTCTGGCATTACAGTCAAGGCTGAATGATTTGCTTGTCTTGACACTGGACAGACTGACATTACAGGTTAAAATGCATTGCTCTCTATTTGGACCAAACTTTTAATCCATAATTCAATTCCAGAGGAAAAGTTTTCTTTTTCAACTGGTTGTATAACTTTCCTCCTCACACCTCCTCCTGTCCCCGCTCAAGAACCCCAGAAACAGAACACCCCCCCCATCTCTTTCCAAATAAAGAAGAGATACTAAGTTCTCCACATTCAACACTAAGTTTTTACAGTTAAAGAACACTGAAGAACCAATTACATTCTTTCCATTAAGTCCACAGATACTAACAGCAATGCTTGGCCATTGCTTTTTCTAGGTATCTGTAATCTCTACAACAGCTACCAAAACCAAAACCAACAAGCAATTACATGATTGCTGAAGCTAATGGCCATGCCAGCTACCTTCCATTCTGCCTGAATAGGAATGCAATTAGAAAACAACTTTTTTTTCTTTTTAAAAGAAAACAGATAGCATAACAAAATCCAATGTTCACATGACAGATAAGGTATAAACTTAAAAAAAGGAAACCAAAGTTTTTCTTAGAATTGACAGCTGAGGCTGGTGACTGGTTTCGTGGTGTTCATTGAAAAAGTAAATGTAGCAGTGGTGAAAAAGTTCAGAAAAAACCCAAATCTCTGACATCACACTGCTGATATCCGTTATCCATTTCCTTTATTAACAAATCCAAGTTACAAAGATTTGAGAAAAAGCTAACTAATAAGGGCAAAAGTAGAAACAGTCTTTGAGAAATTTTGATCCATATGTCCTTTAGAAATGCAAATTTCACCAAACCAACATTAATTTCCTATGAAAAGAAAGCCCTTTCCCACTAAAATAAAAGCTATTTAAGTTTTTACCCCAACTAAGGTTGATCATGATTATTCTGAAACACAGCTTAAAACTGCAGGAGAAAACCAAGGTTTTTTAGACATGCTTTTTGTGTCCTGAAACACACATTTATACATGTAACATCCATGAAGAATTAAGTTTTGTCTAAACCAGTAAATTACAGTAACAATCACAATTCTTTCTAGTTAAAACTTACACAACGTTTCTGAAACTCAGACTACTTGAAAGCTGAAAAAGGATCCCAAACTATTCCTGGTGGGGGATGTCAACTTACCAAGCATATTAGAAAGAACTGTTTTAAAACATCAAATTTTAAGCAGACATGATTTAAAAAAAAAATTGAGATATCATGATCTGTGTTCCTGCGTATATATATAGCCAGGTATATTTATATATATATAAATCCTGTATATATATAGCCAGATATGCAACTTCTGAAATTAAAGCACACTATCTCTTCCATAAATTCATTAATATTACATTTGAAGCATATTTGTTATTTATTTAACTATAATCCTCCTTGTCTTTTGTAGAATGACATCTTATGTATGCATCATAATCACACAACTTCACTATACACCATACTTTCAACAGTATCAATTTATTAATTCAGTCCGTATCATCAAGGTACTCCTTTTACTATGAAACAGACTCATACTTGATTCAATTTCAGTGTCACAGAAGGAATACGAAGGAGTAGTATGAGGTCCATAGCTCATTTGGAAAAGAAAAAAAGAAGATATTTTCCATTTTTCTCTAGCACATGTCAGTATTTTTCAATTTACCTACCCTATAAAGTTATAGGAAAAAAAAAAATGTTTCAACAACTAGATTAAACCTCAACATTAGATTACTGAGTTCCCAGTATAGGGGTACACTAATGGTGGTTGCCTTGCTTTCCTAGACAGTGTTGTGAAGGGGAACTGGGTACATGGTATCTACACTCGTCTTTGCTCATGTACAATACTCTAACTACCACTGGGTTCCAGTAACATCCTTGTAGCTCTTCTGGTTCTCCTCTCCATTTGCCAGAGGACACATTCTCCTGGTTCACCTTTGGGTGATGCTCCATCAGCTGAAAAAAATTCCCAATCCTACTCTGTGCCAATTAAGTAAAATTTCTTAAGCTTTAAGTGCAATAAATCAGAGAAAAAAGGTTGCATAAAATTTAATTGTGTGATTTTTCCAAAGCAAAAAATAAAGGAGTGAAAAATAATACAGCCTTGGATTGAAGGTAGCTATCTAATCACTTTATTCAGCAGCCTCCACAACTGATGCTATCAGACTTTTGGAAAAGGTACTTGGGATGAGTACAGCCTTGTGGTGAACTTGGCATGAAAGCTTCTGGGCAACAACCCTTCAGAAAAATTCTATAATTGATAAGTATATCAAAAAGCATTTCTATGATCTTTTGTTACATGTTTTATTTGAAGTCTGCTGATGAGTATTGCATCAAGACTCACTACAGCCAGCTTCTGTAGAAGATTCCTGACCGGCGAACTTCTTTTTCACCTTTTTAACTTTCCAGGAACAGCGGCTTATTTCCCTTTCAGACAATGTTATAGGGGCAGTTGGAAGATGGCACTTACTCTCATTGCCTGGTGCATCAAGTTCAGGATGTATAAAAAATATCTTTTGTTCATTTTGTTCACGCTTAGCTGTACATTTTTACTACAGAATAATCTATTTAACATTCTTGCACACATTACTCTGAAGCCAATACAGAGTTGGAAATGAGTTCCTCAAAGTCTTTAAGCCAAACATCTGCTTGGAATTAATAACATACACAGATTTTTGAAGTGAAATGTCTACTGAATATTTGTCAGCTTCATGTGTGTTATGGCTAGTCTTAGGAAGAATCCATTGGTAATAAATGCTTCTAAAGAAGTGAATGCAGCCTGAAACTTCAAAGAAAGTGATGTAATTTGTACTTTTAAAACAAAGGTGTGGTTAAAATGTTTACTGCCTTTATATGGATGGAGAAAAGGTCTACATTTTCATTTAGTCAGGACAATATATACTTGAAGTGATTTACCTTAATTAAAAATTACCATTTTAAAACTTTTTA